TAGGACGAGACATCCTTTCCCTCCTCCACGTTTCCATAACTATATCCACTCCCACAGCCCCCAGTACTCCCTTTCTGATGGCCCTCATAGCCGACGACCCCCCTCTACCCAATGAAAGCTCCGGTTCTGCCCTCATACACCCTGTAAATCCCAAAGTTTGGGACATTACAAGCCCCTCCATGGCCCTATGTCCCCCTGCCTCTATCAAATTACGTGACCCCTCTCAGTATATCTGTCAGGCCCAATACCCCCTAACCACTTCAGCCCTCATAGGCCTCCAACCCATCATTCAAGCAGACCCACTCACTCCCCATTTAATACCCCCATATTAGCTGTTAAAAAAACCAACGGATCTTGCCGCCTTGTCCAAGACCTTCGCCTCATCAACATAGCCATTGTCCCTATCCATCCCTTAGTTCCAAATCCATACAGCCTCAGCATCCCACTTCTCAGTCCTAGATCTCAAAGACCCATTTTTCTATCCCTCTAGACCCCTGCTCCCAAGATTTTTTCATCTTCACCTGGACGGACCCATACACAAGACATTCTAAACAACTCACTTGGTCAGTTTTGCCACAAAGCTTCCGAGATAGTCCCCATATTTTTAGACAGGTCCTAGCTCAGGACCTCAAACAGTTTCATCATGATCACTCCAAGTCCACCTTATAATACATAGACAATCTTCTACTCTGCAGTCTCTCGTGGGAACAGTCTCAACTTGACACTGCCTCCCTACTTAACCTTCTAGCTTCCAGAAGTTACCGAGTATCCCCCGTCAAAGCTCAAATCTCTTCCCCTCCTATCACTTACCTCAGATTCCTTCTATCTCAACAAAGAAAGTCCATTACCTTAGACAGAAAATGGCTCCTCTCTGACCTGCCCATTCCCAAAACCAAGACAAAAATCCTTTCCTTTCTAGGCCCTTTCTAAGCCTGGCTAGATATTTTAGAACGTAGATCCCTAACTTCTCCCTGCTCCCTGTTGGCAAGACCCCTATACAACCTCAGCAAGAGCCCCCCTAAAAAACCATTATCCTCCTCACCCCGACACTCCTTCATTAAGCTCCGTCAAGCCCTTGTGGAAGCCCCAGCTCTCCATCTTCCTGATTTGTCGAAGCCCTTCTCATTATACATTCATGAGAGGTCCAGTCAAGCTCTAGGAGTCCTAGGCCAACATCCTTTGCCCCAGTAGCTTATATCTCCAAGCAATTAGACCCCACAGTTCAGGGATGGGCCCCCTGCCTACGAGCATTAGCCGCTAGACAGCTCTTGCAGAAAGAAGCTCATAAACTGACATTCAGAGCGCCCCTTACCATTCTGTCCCCACATCACCTAAAAGATCTCTTAACCTACAAAAGTTTACAGACTCTCCCTCCCTCCAGACTCCTGACCTTACTGTCCTCTTTCCTCCAAAATCCCGTTCACCCCCTTTGCCATCCATACCCGAATCATGACTTTTTCCTCCTTTACTGCTCTCTCGCTTTTTTTCCTCATTCCTATTGTCTTCCCCACCACCCCAGCCTCCTTTGTATGGCGATTCAAAGTCAGACAGACTTACACACAGCATCAAACAAAAGTTACTGCCCTCATTGCCACACCAGACTGCCCTCTGAAAAGCTGCTCTGAGCCTTTATACCTCCACTTTCCTCCCTCCACTGAAGTGTTCACTAGCAGCTACCCTTATTCTCCCTACCTCTGCTTCCTCTATGACCAAAAACAAGCCTATTGCAGGCGATGGCCAGATACCTACAGGAGATGTCCCTACTAGTCTTGCACCATTCACTACATGGGTAACTTCCAGTACCCACAGTATTACTCCTCCAACCGTTTCATGAAATATCCCAATGGCTCATTCTCCTTATCAATCCCAGATCCCTGGGACTCTCGATGGGCTGCCAGAGTCACAGCCTCAGTTTACTACGGGGGGTCCTCGACCCCCCACGGTACCCTTCATATCTCTCGAAAGTATGTTCCCTCTCATTCCCAGATCTCTCAAGTTGCATCAGATATCAGACATTCCGAAAAAGTCATTATCCAAACTCTTGACGGCGCCTCTTCATCTTCTTATCCCCACCCCTCTTCCCATTTCTCCTACTCTTCATTACAGCTCATTCAGGACACCACCATCTTTCTCAACCACACCCTTAACACAGCCAATTGTTTCTTGTGCGCATCACTACAGCGCCCACTGCTGGCCGCCGTGCCCCTTAATATTTCCAACTACTCCTTCCATGCAGAAAGACAACCCCTCTGCCCCCTGGCAGACATACCCCTATGGGAACCAGAATACGCAGATAATCTCACCATCCACCACTGTGTAGGCCCAACTCCACCCCCCTCCAGCGCACTTCACTGCCTCTCTATCTACACCCCTACCTCCGGCTCTAAGACTTTTACGCAACCGGGACACTTCTTTTGGTGTAATGGCAGTCTTTTCAACTCAGTGCCTCTCAACTCCGATACACCCTGCATTCTCATCACCCTAATCCCACAGTTTACACTTTACAGCATGGCAGAATTTCTTGAGCTCCAACCTCCCTTGCCCTCACGTACATAAAGAGCTGCTTTCCTTCCCATCATGGTCAGTAGCTCTTTGATCACCTCAGCCATTGGGGCAGGGTTTTCGGGAGAAGCCTTGGGTCACTCTCTATAGGCAGTTAGAGATCTCAACGCCAAACTTGAGGGAGCCCTGACATCCACTGCCGATTCCCTAGCCTCTCTCCAAAGACAGGTCACTTCGCTAGCTAAAGTCACCCTTCAAAACCGGCGGGCCCTAGATCTGCTTACAGCCGAGAAGGGCGGCACCTGCGTCTTCCTCCGGGAAGAGTGCTGCTATTACATCAACGAATCCGGCATTGTAGAAACTGACATCACCAAACTCACCGACCTTGCCTCCAGCCTCCACTCTGCTTCCAATTCCAACCCATTCTCTTCAATACTAACAAACCCCCTCCTCACCTGGCTCTGGCCCATTGCAGGCCCCATAATAATCATTCTTCTCGCCTGTCTCTTCTTACCCTGTATAATAAAGTTCATCAAATCCCAAGTCGGAAAAATCTCTAATCAAGCTTTCAACCAGCTTTTACTCAGGAACTACCAGCTTCTGGCCACAGAAGATCCCTCACCCTCACGTGACCTCCTCACCACACGCTGAGATGGACCCCTCTCTCCACTGGAAACTGTTCCTGGAAACAATAGCCGCAGACGCCTGGCTCCTGACACCCATATCCTCTTGGCCAACCTATGGTTACAGGGAACCTTCATTGATTTCCAAACCTGAAGAAGTCCACATCTACTCGTCCTTACTGCGGGGAGTCCTATCAACCCTTTCCTCCCAATCCTCAAGCCCTCACTCCCTTCTCCGCCCCTGTTCAGCAGGAAGCAGCCAGAGAGAAAGCAACGTCCACAAACCCATAGAGGAGAAAGGGGGGAATGAAGGGTCCCCACCAGTAAGATGGCAAACTTCCGGCTTCTCTTCGGGGTCCTCAGTTCCCGCCGGCGCCACCTGAAGCCCAATCACCTCTCGCCCCCCTCCCAATCCCAGCACCTAGCCAACAGCCAACAGCCCCGTAGAAGTGACACGTCAATCAATTCATGCCCCTTCCTATATAACCCAGCACCTTTCCCTAATAAAGCGGAACTCTCCGGTGAATTGCTGCTATGTGTCGCTCCTTTCCTTTCAACACACACTTAGAAAGTGTGGGTGACCTCAGAGAGAGGAGCGTGCCCTGGAAGGTTGAAAAGAGTTTAAAGTTAAAAGGTTACACATGAAGTGCGGGCAACCTCAGAGAGAGGAGCGCCCCAAAAGGTTGGGGGTTCCCCCTTCTAAGGATTCTTTAGGAATGTGACTAAGGCCTGGTGCTGCAGACCTGTTAAGGGGTCTTTGAATACTTAGAATTAACAACACCAGGAAGTCCCTGTTCTGATTTCTCCTTGGGATACCGGGGTCTTGGTCCTGGAGCAGATCACACAATCTGCCCGCCCAGCCCCCAAGGTGGGCTGAGCTATTGTCTGTTTGCTAAAGAGTAAGTTAAGATTCTTACATTTTTAACTTTCTGGGAATTACAATACAATCTTTAAGATGGAATCTTTTCTGCCTTTTACTATGTTCTTTATGGCTGGGCCTGCATACTAAATTAGTTGCCTAGGTTACAAACTACTTAATTAGGGCCAGAAGGAGAAAAAAACAGCATATAGGTAAAGGTAGAGGAAGTAAGCTGGGCCTGCATGATTAACACAATAAAGACACGGGCTATGCTGAGGGCCCTTCCTTTATCTGAGGAGGTTTCAAACATTCTAGGCCAAGTTGCTCTTGGCTTTTTGAGCTTTAATTGATTAATTTGGGGTCTTTTTTTAGTGGACTTGCTGGCCTTTTTCTCTTTCCACCCCACTTATGTCTATTTTCCTGCCCAACAAAAGCAACTGGTTTGAAACGGTTGTAGTGGTGGGCGATGTCGGGTAAGTCCGTAGCTATAGGGGTCCCTTAAGAGTTCTTCTGGTTTTGTATGTAGACGAGGAACTTTTGAAAACGTTTGAGGTGGGCTTTCGGGGAAGGTTGGTGCAATGGGCGGGGTACTTATTAAAATCAGGCCAGAGGCTCCTCTCCTAAACGAGCACAAAACAAGTCTCCTTCAAGGGCCAGGAAACTCGCTTGGAGGGAGGGCCCATCAAGACGCCGCGAGGTAGGCTCCTGGTGGTGTCTAGGTCCGATTCGCTTACACCCGAGAGGGGAATCGTGGGGAGAGCGCTGCCTATTCCAGAGTGGAAGCCCTACCCACCCACAAGACCCCCAACACCTCTTCTCCAAAGTCTGTAAAGGTTCTTCCTGCAGAGCCAGCTACTCCTCCGCGGCCCTTCCACGCCTGTCAGTTACCTGCGTGCAGCCAATCAGCACTCACAGGTTGGGCGATTCGTCGAGAGGAAGGGGGCGGGTACTTCCTGCGCGCCAGTGAATGCGCAGACTCGAACGGGGCGGGGCGAGCCTCCAGGTGTGAGCAAGCCAATCACGGACGTCCGTCGACGGGCAGCTTAAGAGGCAGTCGCGCGCTTGCTTTCCCAAGATGGCGGCGGGCAAGGATGGTTGCGCCTCAGCAGATGCGGCCGCAGGGAACGGGCGGCGGCTCCACTTAGGAATTCCTGAGGCGGTGTTTGTGGTAAGAGGCACACTGGTCCTTGGCATTTTGACGGTAGGCTGCTGGCTACCCCTTCCCGGCCCCCACGCCGACCTTGACTGGTGGGGAAAAGAGTTGAGACCCGGGAGAGAGCGCTCCTTCCGCTTTCGCCCTACGTGTCTGGACGGACTGAGCCGTGCTGGGGACTCGCGACTCGTTCGGGGTGAAAGGGGACCGGGGAGACCCGAGAGGAGAAGGAGGCGCGGGCCGGGGAGAGCGACAGTGTGAGCCCCGCCCCCTGACGCCAGTGTCGTCCCTGCTGCTTGGCGACGGGGAGGCCCTGAATACCCAGGCTAGGTGCAGGTGAGACCCCAGGGAGAACTGGTGGCCTGGAATATAGTGAGTAGGCGGAACAGCCGGTGCTGCCGTGTGAAAGTAGGAAATGACACCTAGTCTGTTGAAGGGATGGGAGCAATTGATGGGAAAGTGAGATAAGGTGATAATCTGAAGTCTTCGTGTGTCCTGCTAAGGACCTGAGGCTTTATCCAGTGGACACCGGACTGTCTTTAGAAGATGTCTAAAAAAAGCCACTGTATAATCCTATTTGGTTTTGTGTACATCATTTTCACCACCTAGTAGAGAGTGAACAGTGTGAACTTGAAAGAGGAGGCAACGAATGCAATTTGGAGTTTCACAGAACAGGGAGAGACAACCCAAGTCCAAACAAAGCAAGTGAATGCCTTCAGCTCTGACCTTCCATCAGATTATTCTAGAAGTAGTATTTGAAAACGGTTTGCATAATGAAGGAAAACCTGACTTGCCTTCTAGGCCAGTATCTGCCTTTCCCCACTGAATTTTAGCTGAGTTACTATAAAATTTCAATGGAATTTTCTCTATCTTTTGGGTCGAACCTACATTGCCTTATCTGTACCTTTCTGTTAATCATTTTACATCCTTCAAGAGACCCATTTCTTTCATTGTTTTATTTTAACCACTTTTATATACATTCGATAGTGCATATTTGCATTTGCTGATTCAATTTTTTACTTATTTTCTTTAGTTATTTTGTATTTTCTCCCTTAGTTGGGCCATTTGTTTCTTTACATTCATTTCCCAACTTGTAACAAGAGACAGAATTGCTTGAGTGCCAGTTACTTTCCTAATGCTTTTGTAAAATTCTAGAAGATAGATATTGTTAACTAGTCCCACTTTGTAGATGATGAAACTGAGGCACAGAGTCCTTGAGTAACTTGCCGCAAGTCACACAGGGTATAAGTGATTTATCCAGGAATTGAACTTGGGCAGTCAGTGGGGCTCCAGAGTCTTCCTTACACATCATGCTCTGCCACTGGGAGGAAAATGAAGTAGTTATCTTGCTCAGTGTCATTTCTCCTGGTCCTAATATAGTGCTTGACACCTAATGTAAGCTCATAACGAGATGTGGAATTGAATTTTCATATTGCCTGAAATACTGCATTTATAGTACTCAGCTAGAGATGACTTCAGAAATCTAATCCAGGAGCCTACACTTTATCTGAGGGCTTTATAAAGTCTTATCTTAAAATGCCCTTTTCCCTAAAATGTTACAGAGTATCTTTTCTAGACCTTACAATTTCTACCAATGTAATATTAAGCAACCCCAATTTTACGTAATTATTTTTATGTCCCCAGACTAGTGGGACTAGCATGGCCTTATAAAAAAAACACTGGCATGTGGACAGACCAGGGTTTGAGTCCTGCTTCTGCTTCCCAATTGCTCTTTGGTCGTAGGCATGTTATTTTACCACTTTGATCCTCAATTTCTTTGACTGAAACAGGGATAACAATACTTAAGAGAGTTGCTATGAGAAACAGAATGTGCTTCCAGTATGTAAGTAGACACTTAACATATATTAGTTTCTGTGATAATAGGAGGCAGTGTACCATACTGGTGAGAAGTCAGACCTCTCACCCTTTCTTCATTCCTAGTGGTGCAGTAACTTTTCTTCCTTTGCTTGAGTGGTCCCTTTCCCCCTTGTCCATTTGCCGACCTCTTCATCTCTCCAGCATGTAGTTTAGTTATGACATCCCTGTAGTTTAACATAACTATAATGTTTTTGAGCACTTACTAGCTGTAATGTACTCTTTTAAGCATTTTACACATGCTAGCTCATTTACTCCCCTGTGAGGAAAAGATACTTTTTTTTTTACAGATGAGGAAATTGAGGCAAAGAGAGAGGTTAGGTAACTTTCCTGAGGTCAACACACCTATGTGGTGAAGACAGGATTCAAGCCAGGCAGCCTCTATCTCTTAACCACAATCCCACACTGCTATGAAGGCATACCTCATTCTGGTGCACTTTGCCTTATTGTGCTTTGCAGATACTGTGTTCTTTACAAATTGAAGGTTTGAGGCAACCCTGCATCAGGCAAGTCTGTCAGCTCCATTCTTCCATCATTTTCTCACTTTGTGTCTTTGTCACATTTCAGTATTTCAAATGTCTTCATTATTTTGTTACGGTGATCTATGATCAGTGACTGTGACTCTCTGAAAGCTCAGCTGACAGCTAGCATGTTTTAGCAATGAAGTATTTTTTAAGTAAGGTATGTATATTGTTATTTTAGAAATACTGCTATCGCACACTTAATAGACTACAGTATAGTGTAGACAGCTTTTACGTGCATTGGGAAACCCAAAAGTTCATTTGACTCTCTTTATTGTGATACTTGCTTTATTGTGATGGCCTGGAATTGAACCTGCAGTATCTTCTAGGTGTGCCTGTAGTTAGTTCCGCTTGCTAGACTCTAAGCTCATAACGTGTGTCATGTGCTAGAAATGAATTTTCTTCTCTTCCTGCAGTGACCCTTGTAAGACAATGGTATCTTCACTTTACATGCAGAGCCTAGCCATTACATCAGCCTCACCTTTCTTTTACTGTGTCTGCAGCTTGATGGCATCATAGTTTACTCCCTTGCTTTGTTTCTCTTCCTATTTCTTCTTGCCTTTTTTTGGCTAAAATATTCCCTGATCACTAGTATGCATGGATAAGAATAATGGTGAAGAGGTCCCAGAAACTGTAAGATTATTGAATTTAATTTACAGTGAAGAACTAAAGTTTAAAGTATTGGAAGGCTCTTACAGAATCTCCTTAAAGTTTCCATATATTTTTATCTGATCCTTATCTAATTAACTAGTTTTCTTCAAGGACCAGCCTGTAGTAAACATCTTAAAAATGCTATTCGGTTTTACAGCTTTTCTTTAGCTTAGTTAAACCTGTTACAAAAGATTGTTCTCTTTACTGCTTAGGTTTACTTAAGTTCAATCACTTGATATGGAGGCATTTGTGACTTGCCTTGGGAATTTAATAACCACAATCAGCATGATTTCTAGACCAATAGAACTTGTTGAATGATTTAAGTAATAAAATCATTTTGGCACACAACCTGTTGAATTGTTTTTGTGGCTGGAGGACATGACTAAGCAGTGTGTTGTTGGGTCATCTTCATATATACTACTAGGGCCGAACGGGAAATGCATAAAGCAGGCAAGCTCATCTTTCTTACCCTATATATAAATAAAAATAAAAATAAAAATAAAAACAGGAAGGTAGAGGAAGAATAAATTGGCTACATAATATATGTGCAGTGTCTGAAATGGTCTCTTAACTTTCTATAACTACTTGTTTAGTTAAAAACAAGCCTTTGGAATAAAAGAAACAAACTTTTTTCTTTAAAGTTTTAAAAATAAAGCTAAGCACTGAAAAACCAAATTAGAGGTATGAATTCTAAAATTTCCAATGTACTATTTTTCATGTTAAAGGAAGATGTAGATTTCTTCATGAAACAGCCTGGAAATGAGACTGCAGATACAGTACTAAAGAAGCTGGATGAACAGTACCAGAAGTATAAGTTTATGGAACTCAACCTTGCACAAAAGAAAAGGAGGTAACTAAAAATTTCCAAATTTTTTTATTGTATGGCTTAAACTTTTTTTTTGTTTTGTTATTATTAATCTACAATTACATGAAGAACATTGTTTACTAGGCTCCTCCCCCCTTCACCAAGTACCCCACACAGACCCCATTACAGTCACTGTCCATCGGTGTAGAATCACTACTTGTCTTCCCTGTGTTGCACAGCTCTCCCCATGCCCTTCCCTACATGCTAATTATACATGCTAATCATAATACCCCCTTTCTTTTTCCCCCCCTTATCCCTCCCTTCCCACCCATCCTCCCTAGTCCCTTTCCCTTTGGTAACTGTTAGTCCATTCTCGGGTTCTGTGAGTCTGTTGCTGTTTTGTTCCTTCAGTTTTTCTTTATTCTCATACTCCACATATGAGTGAAATCATTTGATACTTGACTTTCTCTGCCTGGCTTATTTCACTGAGCATAATACCCTCTAGCTCCATCCATGTTGTTGCAAATGGTAGGATTTGTTTT